CCTCCTCCTCCTCCTCCTCCTCCTCCTCCTCGGGTCGCCTACGGCCCCAGGAACCGTGCAGGGGGTCCTTGAGGAAAGGGTCCCCGGAGTTGTCTCGCCGTTTTTGGGCTCCCAGGGCCGTTCGTGGGCCCCCGGGGCCGTCGAAGAGCGACTCAAGATGACGAGCTGGTCCCAGGGAGCACCCCGCGCTCCAGGACCAAGCTCCACCAGGACCCGCCTCCTCCTCCTCCTCCTCCTCCTTCCTCCTCCATCTCCTCCTCCTCCTCCTCCTCTCCTCCTCCTCTCCATCCTCCGCCCCTTCCTCCGTCTCCTCCTCCTCCTCCTGGCTCGTGGAAGCTCGGGCACCGGGCAAGGCGGCCAGACCCCACGAAGAGGGAGCCAAGCTGATCGAGGGACGCTGGCCATGCATTACTTTGCATCTTCGGGGGACTTTTCCTGCCCTGTAAATCGCAGTCTTTTCTTGTACTCCGACGTGGGTTCGACGCGCATTTCGATGTGGATTCGACACGGATTCGACACGGATCCGACACGGATTCGACGTGGTCGACACGGATTCGACACGGATTCGACGCGGATCGTGGCGCGACGGGACAGACAAGGCCCCCCGAAGACGCAACGCAACATCCACCGCACAGTCGGGCCGCTCAAGAAGGAACCCTTTTCGTTGGGAAGAGGGGCTTAGTGGTCCTTCATTGTTTTACAGTTCCTCTCAGGTTTTCCCTCGGCTTTCGGTGGGCAATCGAAGTTTCACTGATGGAACAAGTGGCCTCGTTCCTCATCTAGGGTTCCTTATGGCAGCGTTTCGACTGTACCGATCCTGGCCAGCTCAGGACCAGTGTCGCGCGCCCCTGGCCAAGCCCAGAGGGCGTAAACACCCAGGTCGCCACAGGTCACCGGAGCGAGCGCGGGGATATCCGCTCGGGGGCCGCGAGACGGGGGCCCATGCAGACGGCAGACAGTCAGAGCGCCGGATCTTGCAGGATGCTGCAGAGCCAGGGCCGCATTGACCCAGGCCTGGGTGTATTTGGATTCTCCTCGCCCTCCTCGCCCTCCTTTGTCCCCTTCCTCCCTCTTGGTCCCTCGCTCCTCTCTGCCCTGACTCCTCCTGGCCCCCTTCTCTTGGTCCCTCGGTCCAACATCCTGCAAGGCCTGACCGACCCGACCCAAGAGGAGGAGGAGGAGGAGGAGGAGGAGGAGGAGGAGGAGGAGGAGGAGGAGGAGGAGGAGGAGGAGGAGGAGGAGGAGGAGGAGGAGGAGGAGGAGGGAGGAGGAGGAGGAGGAGGAGGAGGAGGAGGAGGAGGAGGAGGAGGAGGAGGAGGAGGGAGGAGGAGGAGGGAGGAGGAGGAGGAGGAGGAGGAGGAGGAGGAGGAGGAGGAGGAGGAGGCGGAGGCGGAGGCGGAGGCTGAGGCGGAGGCGGAGGAGGAGGAGGAGGAGGAGGAGGAGGAGGAGGAGGAGGAGGAGGAGGAGCAGGCCCGGGTCTGGCTTGGCCCGGGTCCGCATACCCCCGAGCCCCGCCCTGCGCGCCGCGGCCCGGGTCGGAGGGGCGCCCGCCAGCGCGAGGGCGCGAGGAGCCCCGCGCGTCGCGCCCTCGCGAGCGCGAGGCGCTCCAGGGAGGGCGCTCGCCTTCGAGGAATCCTCGAAGGCGAGGCCCTCCCTGGAGCGCCTCGATCCTCGAGGAGGATCGACGGCCCTCGATCCTCGACGAGGAGATGACGACCCCTTCGATCCTCGACGAGGACCGAAGGGGTTGGCATCTCTTCCTCGGCAGGAGGGGGCGGCAGGGCGGCGGAAGTGACACGAGGCCGCCGCGGAAGTGAAGCGAGGCCGCCTCCGCCCGCGGAGGCCCGCGGAAGCTTGGCGGAAGCTTGGCGGAAGGCGGCGGAAGTAAAATCTGTGCCCTCAAGAAATGCAGACGCTTTTGGGGTTCAGGGTTTTCGAAGTCGCCCAGGTGGCCTGGCTGCACAGGTCCGTGGCCCAGGAGGGGCCTGGGGCAGGGCTGGTGAGGTAGACAGGGGGGACGACCTCGGCCCCGACGGCTCCCCCCGTGCCCGTTTCGCCCGTCTAGAGTGAAGTCGGGCATGTCCCTCTGCAGGAGGATTACTCCAGAGCCCAGGGACGATTTTTGTTCGTGCTCCTTTGACGGTTTTTGATGATTTTGTGATTTTCTCTCTGCCACAGTGCGCCTGTAGGAGGACATGCCCGACCTGATTCTAGTCGGCGGCGAGCGAGGGGGAGAAGTGAGAAGGAGAAGGCCTTCTCAGAAGGTTCGGAAGTCCCCCGGCCTTCTGAGAAGTGTACTAAGCCTTCCCCGAAGACAGACACTTTCTCAGAAGGCGCGAGGCCTTCTGAGGAGTCCCGCCGCCTTCTGAGAAGGTCTTATCCTTCTCACTTCCCCCCTCGCTCGCCGCCGATCTAGAGCGAGGCGCTGCGATGAAAAGGCCCGGTGCTCCTGGCCGCCTGGGCGCTTCTGCCGCCCTCCTCGTGGGGCCCCTCCTCGGGGTACCCTCGCTGCCGCAGCCGGGCTGCCGTGGAAGTTGTGCTCGGCGCACACCCTGGGACCGAGCGTGGATCGGCCAGGATCGACGAGGTGGACTGGGTCCAGGTCGTGATCGTTTTTTGTTCATTGTTTTGCCGATCGGCGCGGGCCCTCGCATCCCCCCCCTCCCCCCCCCCTGGAGTAGATCTTGGCTTTTTTTGGCGCCTGTTTCGAGCGGGTGGGGTCCCTCCTTCCCCCAGAGGCAGCACTCTTGCAAACAGTCGCACTACGCAGAGGTCCGGAGCCAGACCCCCCCCCTCCCCCCCCTTCCGCCCAGTGTCGAAACGCCGAGTAAAAAAGACGTTGACGTCCAGGCGAGGTGGGGAATGAGGGAGGCAGGGCGCACGGGAGGGGCCAGAGTTCAGGAGGGTGTGTCCTGTCCGTTCGACCTGCCGATGCTTCCGTCGTCGGCGCTGTCGCGAATGGCTTCGGGGGGGTGGTGCGCCTGGAGCCTCGAGGCCCTCAGGCAGGAGGGCGCACAGCGGATCACGGTGTACAACTACGCTCGCCTCCACAACGTGACGTTCTGCGCCTCCCCGTGGAATAGCCGCCTGGACCACAAGGGCGACGGAAGCGCGCTCTTCAGGTTCATCGGAGGCCATCTGTACGGCCCCCCGCCCAAGGACAGCGACGTCTCCAACTCTCGCAAGATCAGCCAGAAGTGCAACCAGGTTTTGGCATGGAAACATTCACACAAACACACGCACTTCCCCCCCGTCCCACCCCCCACCCCCCCCAACACACACACATGCACACACACACACACCTCGCTGGAGCAGGTCACGGTCAGTTGCATTCGTTGTGGGTGGACGTGTGCTTTCGATCGTTCGACACACATATACACAAAGAGCATCTAGCGGACTGTTTGGGTTTGGCGGAGCTCTCGGATATCAAAGGGACAGGAGGAAGAAGAGGCAGAAGAGAAGAGAGAGGAGGAGGAGGGTGGAGGAGGAGGATGGTGGAGGAAGAGGACGGCGAACAGTAATATGTATGAGGGAGGGAGCAGTGAGGGGAGAAGAAACGAGAGAGGAGAGAGTGGAGACTTTTTTTGATCCGCGGGTCGAGAGCGCACCTGTTCCAGTCGAAGCTAAGCGGGCCCCGCACAGCTTGAATTCACGAAAGGTGGGCGAGAGTGGAGACACACACACACATATATATATATATATATATGTATACATACATATATATATAGAGAGAGAGAGAGAGAGAGAGAGCGAGAGAGAGAGAGAGAGAGAGAGAGCGAGCGAGCGAGCGAGCGAGCGAGCGAGAGAGGGGAGAGATGATAGAGGAGGAGTTGGAGGAGGCAGAGGATGCGCTGGAGGAGGAGGAGGAGGAGGAAGAGGAGGCGGAGGAGGAGGAGGAGGAATAATAATAATGATACCAATAATAATACCAATAGTATCACTAATACCAATACTAATAATACTACCAAAAATAATAATAATAGTAGTACAAATACTACGACTACGACTACTGGTGCAGACTGTGTGCGGGCGCGCACTGATAAGTCCATTGACCATTGTGCGTGCTGTAGCTCTTGCCTACGTGGTGCACTTTGCGTCTAAGGCGTTGTTCCCTGGCCTCCTGCACGGCGCGCCCGTCGATCACTTCCGCCCGAGTGCTGGCCCCCCTGATCGTTCTCATGGCGGACAGATCGCGACGGCGCTTCAACTTGGCCCTCCGCTCCTCCAGGGCTTCTTCCAAGGTCTTTTCGCGAGGTGCTCCTTCCTTGGGCGACATGGCAGGCCAAGCTAGAGTGTGGGAGGTGCTGTTGTTGCTTGGTGTGTGCAATGCAACACAACGCTTGGACCAACATCGACGGAGTACGACGTATAACAGCCAACCTGAGAAACAGTCAAGAGTCCTTACCTTCTCCCTGGCCTCCTCGTCTTCCTTCCCTTCGCCATGATCGATTGGAGCCAGCCTCTGCATTCGCGGCTTCCTTGGATAAGGAACCCAGGGGCTCGCAAATAGTGGACGGCATGTCGGGGGCCACGCACTCCACCTCGAATGGGTAAGGAATGCGCTAAGGACTCGCCTTCGTGAAGGCCGTCCTCATTCCATGCCTCACGCCGTATCGATCCGAGCGACCCTTCACCAAGATTCTGCTATCGAAGTGGCCCTGGATAAGGAACCCAGGGGCTCGCAAATAGTGGACGGCATGTCGGGGGCCACCAATTCCGAACGAAAGAACGACAGAGAAAACAACATGAAGAGGATCACGTTGGAAAGGAAGCAACATCAAACAATCGCTCAACGACGAAGGGCGGAGGAGCGTTTCACTCGATAAAAACAAAACGAAAACGACGAGCGGCTCCACAATCCGCCCGTCTCGAGAACCCCCTGCCCCTCCCCGAATTTGTTCTTCTTCTCGGCCTCCTCTTCCTTGCCCTCGAACTGTTTCTCCTCCTCTAGGACTTCTGCCTCCCGATCCGTCTTCGCCCAACTCATTCCCCTTCGCCCT